GAGATAGGCGAAGGTTTTTATACTCTAACAATGAAGTTGTGAAACTACCGAAGCTTCTATAAGCTGAGTTGTTCCAGTCAGTGCTGCACCTCGTACCCAATAAGTACTGTTAAGTTGTTATTTTATATTCGTAATGCTCATGAATATTACTAATGTAAAAGCTAATATTGCAAATGATGACAATGACAATGACAATGACAATGACAATGACAATGACAATGACAATGACAATGACAATGACAATGACAATGACAATGACAATGACAATGACAATGACAATGGCAATTACAATGACAATGACAATGACAATGACAATGACAATGACAATGACAATGACAATGACAATGACAATGACAATGACAATGACAATGACAATGAAAATGACAATGACAATGACAATGCCGATGCCGATGCCTTTGGCAATGACATTGACCGTTAACTAAAATATCAGCTAGCATGAAATGATATTACAAGTCTATGAAACAATTTTTAATCAACTTCCTAGCTGATTGCCAATATCTTTGCTCGCTCTATACTTACCCTCCAAGCCATCTACGTCAGTCAACAGTCATCATCATTATCATCATTATTGCTCTGCTTTATAGGCCTCTATTCGCCCCTCTTCAAAAAGATTTCGTACTCCAATTCACATTTAAAATGCCTTTGGTTAGTGTATAAATGGAAAGCTGTTGTTTTTTTGCCCGAGCTCAAAGGCCGCCGCATGACCAGGCCCCAGAGTCAGCTTTGTGTGCGAGTGTTTGTGTGTGTGCGTGTATTTGGGTGTATGTGTAATTCCTGTTGAAATTTCTCCATTACTTTGCAGTTCAATGTTTTACTTTTACGCTCCTTACCGGCTGCTACACGTCTCACGGCGACCGCCTCCCCCTGCTCGTTGCAAGGCAAAATTTACTCGAGGTTCATTTGATTTTTCCCGAAAAACTTTGGTGGCCACAAAAGTTTTTGGCGCTCGGTTCTTTGGCAAAGCGCGCGACGACGTCGGCAATGTTCAATGCATTTGATTTTCAGCAAAACTTTTTTGGCCTTTAAGAATTGCGAATTGAATGTGAGTGTGCCAGAGAGTGTGTATGTATGTGTGTGTGTGTGTGCCTGAGTGCTTGAGTGCAACATGTTTGCTGGCAAAATGAACGGCGACGCGCTGAATAAAATGTTGACAGAAAGCAAACTGCAAAACTGCCAAGTGCCAAGGCTTACAAAGAATGTTGAAATATAATTGGCGTACAGCTGAAAAATGCCTCAGCTATAAGTATAAATGTGTGTGTGTGTGTGTTGGTGTGTTGTGCCAACAATGGCGTCCAATTATAGCGCAAGACGTGCCACAATGGCCCACGATTTGAAGTAACTTCAAGTGCTGCTAACTGATTGGCTTGGACCAAAAGAAATAAAAATTTGTTTCGCCCTTGTTGAAGCCCAACTAAGTTAGAGTGTGAAATAAAACAAATTTGATATATTTTTTTAGTTATTATTTAAATTACATTTATTTTCTCATGATAATCACTTGTGTGTGTGGTGAATGCATTTCATATGTTCCTGCACTCAATATATGGCTATTTTTGTTTTGTTTTAAAGTTTAAGTTTTTATTTTTTGTTTACTTTTAAATTCATATTCATCAAAGTTTAAATTTTACATAAATGCGCGCTGAGCGCATTTTACGTTGAAAACTTTTTAAATGACTTTTTCGCATTATTTTTATTTTTATATTTATTTATATTTTTTTTTGTTCATAATTTTTTACTCTTTGTTCATTTTCATTTATTGAATACAGTACATACTTATATTAATTTCATTTTGTTTCTTTACTTTTTTGCATGCTCCATTCCATTAATTAGTTAATGGCTATTAGCGGCCATAGACCAATATGCTTTAATTAAAATATTTACAGTAAAAAATGCTTAACAATTGGAAACCAAACAATATTCATATTATATTATTCATTGTTTCATTTATGTATGTATGTATATTCGTAATAATATTATTATAAATTTCCTTTTATCAAATATAAATCAGAATGTGATTGCTGGCTTTTCAGAATACGGGGGCAATGGGGCGGGAGGCACACACAAATACAAATGCAAATGCAAATACAAATACATACACACACATATTGAGACAGTTAACAGTATTTTGTTTCGGCTTTGCTCTCTTCATAAATTTGTTATTCATATTATGTTTGTTAATTTACGCGTCTTTTTCACACTAATGAATCTATTTAAAGTTTCATGAAATTCTTTAACAGTTGCGTTGGTTTTTCTTTTCWTTTTTTTYCTTTTTTTTTTTTTTTTTTTGATTACCTTTGTGTTTATTTGAGTAATGTACGTTTTTGTTATGCTTTATATATGGCAATGAATGTATTTGTATTTTAATCTTTTTCCATTTTTTCCTGTGTTGTATACGTTTTGTGTATACCTGTTCCGGCTGGCAAAAGTGGAGTATATTGGCTTTGCGGACTGTACTACTGTATAAATTTGGAAGGAATTGCTTATGTATACAGATATACCCTCTGTGGAAGCAAGAATTTCAGTTGAAGCAGGTATTTCCTGACTTCCGCTGACGTTTAGTTGAAATCCTTAGTCTTCCCAAATAGCTGTCTATCGAGTTTCTCTGGAGATAAATATAATATTCCACAAGTATCAGGCCAAGTACAGTTTTCACGATATGACAGTAAAGAAGTTTGAGGAAAATCTTTAAATTTAACTCAAATTAAACTCTCTTTTCAGCATGAACAAGTATTGTGCAGTCGATTACACCCGCCGACAGCAAAGTTTTGAATTTTTCGTCAAGTTTCATTTAATTGTACAACACACAAATATGTTTTCTTTTTTTTTCTATATATATTTAATGAGTTCTATTTTTTGTCTCCTCTAGTTTTCTAGTTGCGCGAAAAAAAACAGTCGAGAGAATTGTACATATTTGATTACGTAGATGTTGTTTTAATCTTCAGGTGTTTTGTTTAATTAGGCATTTTATATGTTGTTTTTTATTAGTTTTTGTTGTTGTTGAGAAAGCGTAGAATGTAATTATGAAATGTTGCATGCTCTATGCTAGTTGCTTTTACTATGGCTAACAATTTTGTTTAGCTGATTTTTCTGATTTTCTCTTTTTTAACTCCTAGTTTTTTTTTAATGAATCTTCTAAGTTCTCTTCTATTTGTAGTTTTGAAGCAGCAACATCTAAAGTAAGCCTCCTTTCTGTGTATTTATCTCTTTGTTTTCTCTTGGCTGATTGCTGTCACTTATGCTATATATATACTAGATATATATATATGTATATGTATATATATGTGTGTGTGTATATAGTTTCGAGTTATAGCTAATTCTCCAACTCTCTGGCAATCGATTTTTCCACTCTTCCACTCTGTTGTTTTTATCTGGCCTTTCATCTCTTTACTTCTTTTGCCCTATATAGTTTTACAACAATTTATTTTATATTTATTTTTTGTTTATTTATTTATTCATTCAGTCATTTTTGTGTGTGGTTGTTGTTGCTGTTGCTGTTTTCATTTGTTAGCTGTATTTACACTTGAAATTAAATATATGCATACATATTCATATTATTTGCTCTGTTTTGTTGTGTTTGCCATTTGCCATTTGCAATGCAATTTATTTTATTTACAAACTTAATAATGCAATTAATTATAATTCCTTTTTTTTTTTAATATTTATTTATTTTTATTATTATTATTTTTTTTTCTTGTGTGAATCTCTATGTTTTGGGTTTCCATTTAGTAATTAGTAACAGTAATAATAATAACGCTTTGGTATGCCTGTTTTTTGTTTCGTTTGTAATATAATTTTTATGGACTGAAATTGGCTACTTATGCAAAATGTATTTTTTTTCTATGTCAATATGTATTTTGCATAGATATAGTAGTTATATATGTATGTGTATACAAATCTGAAAGTGTGATCCATGCTGTTTACAACTGCTGAGGACCAAAAAAAAAAAAAAAAACGTATGAAACTAGTGTGCTAGTCGAGCTTGACCGACTAGATAATACCCTGAACCATAGTAGTCCTTTGAGGCATTCGTGGTATACTTATATGCCTTGATAGAGAGATATATATACCAAGACACAATTTTCAGCTTCAGATTATATTATATTATATTTGTTTTTTTGGTGGCGTGGAGATTTCCTAGATTTTTAAACAGATCGACAGATAAGCTTGAGCTGGCTCTACTTAGATTGTATTCCCGATCATATATGCCAGGCCACTATAAATCCTCTCCAATGCACGTTCTGTGTGTTCAGAGTATGCCATAAAAAGCTTGAACCAAATTGCAATTAGCCAATTGCAATTGCTGTTAACCAACTATATCGAAAAAAAAATTAAAAAAAGTTAAATAAAAGTATTCAAACTGAACTCAATTTGTTAGAAAAGTTTAACAATTACTTTAACTAATGCATTTTACATGACGCACAGACATAGATATATAAATATTTAAGTATTATATATATATATTTGTAAGTTAGTGCTTAATCAAACTGGTTAAACATACTGTACACAATTAATATGAAAAATGATTTTTGTTTCTTTTCTTT